ATGAGCTTTCTTGATCAGGCTGGTGGTGTTGTTGCTCCAGCTGAGGTTGTCATTCATGTGTACACCCAAGTACTTGTAGCTGGAGACCACTTCCACCGCAGATCCTCTTATGTTCAGGGGGGTGTAGGTGTTTTTGTTCCTTCTGAAGTCCACAATCATCTCCTTTGTCTTCTTCACATTGATGTGAAGGTTATTCTCTCTGCACCAGCTCTCCAGGTGTTCCACCTCTTGCCTGTAGCTGGACTCATCATTGTTTGTGATGCATCCCACCACCGCTGTATCATCTGCAAACTTTACAATGTGACAGCCTGGATGGGTAGCTGCACAATCATATGTGAGCAGAGTAAACAGGAGGGGGCTCAACACACATCCCTGAGGAGAGCCAGTGCTGAGGGTTATGGTGGAGGAGGAGAGGTTGTGGATCCTCACTAACTGTGGTCTGTTTGTTAAAAAGTCTAGTACCCAGTTGCAGATGGAGGGGCTTAGTCCTAGTGTGGATAGTTTGTCCATCAGGGTTTGGGGGATCATGGTGTTGAAGGCGGATGTGAAGTCCACAAAGAGCATACGGACGTAAGAGTTTTTCTGCTCCAGGTGGTTGAGTGCAGTGTGGACCACAGAGGAGATTGCATCCTCTGTTGATCGGTTCTCATGGTATGCGTACTGATGAGGGTCCTCGTTGATGTTGATGGTTGTTTTGATGTGAGTCATGACCAGTTTTTCGAAGCATTTAGCGACTATCGGGGTGAGGGCCACTGGCCGATAGTCATTCAGACCAGTCACTGTAGAGCTTTTTGGGACTGGGATGATGGTGGCAGTCTTCAGGCAGGTGGGAACTGTCTCCAGGGTAAGTGAGGTGTTAAAGATGTCTGCCAGCACCTCACAGAGCTGATCAGCACATTCCTTCAACACTTTTCCGGGGATGTTGTCTGGGCCAGTTGCTTTGTGCGGATTAATCCTCCTGAAGGTACTCCTTACTTCTGCTGAGGTCACGCTGAGATGCTCTTCATTCAGTGGCGAGGTGAGTTTGGTGCTGGGTGGTCTGTTCGGGTCTTCAAAGCGTGCATAGAACTTGTTGAGGGCATCAGGCAGAGATGGGTCTTTGGGACATTGTTCACTCCTTCCTTTATAATCTGTTATGCACTTAATGCCCCTCCACATGCTCCGAGGGTCTTGTGAGATGAATTGACCCTCGATCCTCTTTGCATATGTGGCCTTGGCCCTCTTAATACCAGCAACCAGCTCTTTTCTTGTCCTACTCAGCTCCTCTGAGTTTCCAGACCTGAAGGCAGTGTTCCTGGCTTCCAGCAGGGTACGCACCTCTGCATTCAGCCAAGGTTTTCTGTTTGGGTAGCTTTTAACATTTCTGATAGTGGAGACTGTGTCAGTACATGTACTAATGTAACCCAGTACTGAGGATGTGTATTGGTCAAGATCAAGCGAACCTCCATTTTCAGCAGCTTCTCTGAAAACCTGCCAGTCTGTTCGATCAAAACAATCTCTCAGTATGGGTCCACTGTCCTGGCTCCAACATTTAACTTTCTTTTGAATCGGTCTGGAGCGTCTCAGCGGGGGCATGTAAGCAGGAGCCAGGAAGATTGAGATGTGGTCTGACAGTCCTAGGTGGGGGCGGGGTTCGGCTTTGTATGCATCTTTTACGTTCGTGTAAACACGGTCCAGCGTGCGGTCTCCACGTGTCGGAATCGTCACATGCTGATTAAAGCTTGGGAGACAGTCCTTTAGATTCACGTGGTTAAAGTCTCCGGCTACCACGTAGAGAGCCTCGGGGTGTTTGTTCTGCAGCGAGCTGATGATATCATGAAGCTCCTGCAGTGATTCATTAGCATTAGCGTCCGGAGGAATGTAAACAACTGTGATAAAAGTCACTGTGAACTCTCGGGGTAGATAATGTGGCCGACATTTCACTGTTATTTGCTCCAAAGCCTTCGAGCATGAGCTATTTACAACAGTACAGTTCGTGGACCAACTTTTACTCACGTAAATGCACACTCCGCCCCCCCGTGATTTCCCCGTTAGCTCGCTGCAGCGGTCCGCTCGAAATAAAAGTCTGTCATCCAGCTGGAAGACTGAGTCCGGCGTTTCACTTGTAATCCACGTTTCTGTGAGGCAAAGCACTGCACACTTCTTCATCTCTTCTGAGGCGCCCGCTCTCAGACGAAGTAAATCCACCTTGTTGTCCAACGAGCGGACATTCGACAGAAAGAGAGACGGCATGGGGAGTTTACCGGCTTTAGCGTTAGCTCGTAGCCTCACCATAACCCCCGCCCGGCATCCTCTCCTCTTAAGCCGGGAGCAGCGCTTCCTCTTCTGCCCGCTGGAACGCCTCTGCTGCAGCTTCCAGGTAGATGACTTTAAGATCTGCATTCTGCCGAGCGTAGTTTTGAGTTTGTTGCTGATTTCTGCTATATTTCGTGGCAAATCCGCTCCTATTCTCATCAGTTCGGTTCGGCTATAGTTCACACGCATAAATCGCGCGGAGTCAGGCACAGAGTCAATATCAAAACTTCTAAAAACTGGGATGGTACCGGGAGCCTGTGAAGCTGCAACTGCTCTGAGCGCGGCCATCTTGGATTAAGCGTATGTAGTCTGAAATGAACAGCTCCAGAGTAGGACATGAAAATTTAGTTGACAAAAACACCAAAGTCAATGTGTGCAGAGACTCAAATATATGTTTGAATCAGATACGACTTTAAATACAGCACAGCTTATGAAGCTGACGAGCTGCTGGCATTGAGGCCACTCAGGTGATTTACAGCAGAGGACTGTAAAGACCATTTCAACATGCAGGTAATATTTAACACATTGGAAATGCATAACCATGACAATAAATGACTAAATTGATCTGAATACAAAGATAAACTGTGTGACAGAATCATAAACTGGGTCATAAAGTGATTCAGCTCTAAAATCTGCAGTTAACTGCATGTTGACAAGGTTAATGAGTGATGGACACTGTGGGAGCTGATGTCAGTGAGAAAACAGGCTGAAGGGAGAAGCAACTCACGAACACATGTTCATTCACAAGTTGCACTTTGAACCGGGGAGAGGCTGAGCCCAAGTCCACATAACATCCTGTCTGAGCTGCACCATAAAAGGAAGATTACCTTCCACCAGCATGGAGTTTAGACCTCATCTATAGAAAGTATACCAGGCCGTTCTACAGCTGCAATTCCATCAAAACCATTAACCAAATGAAGTTAAGAAGTTTTGGATGGTTTTAACATGGTGCAAAACTCCTGATCCGTTCCTCATTTCTTTACATGTTCCTTCCAAGCAGCCAGACATTGACGCAATCTGTCAAAGGGGTCTTGATCAATAGTTCCCTAGACTTTCTGAAGGGTTTCCAGACTTGGACTTTTAAAGCTTCTTTACTCGGTTTCAGTGCAGTCTCTGTATGGGATGTTGTTTTGTTTTACCAAAAAACATTTCCTTTGTTGTAACTAGAAAAAAAGGACACACCTTAAATATATATAATTGTATTTTATAGCCAATAAAACGAATCCTGTTGTATTGCATTCTGAGAGATACAGAAAAATAAGAATTGAAACTCAAACATATACAGTAATGTTTTTGGAGAAAAAAAAAAAACGGTCACTGACCTGGAGCAAATGACTTTCCAGGTAGATATCAGATATTTCAGTCCACTCTCTGGACATATTAGTTGTCAGGTTTTTATAGGTGTGTGTGTGTGTGTGTGTGTGTGTGTGCGTGCGTGCGTGCATGCGTGTGTTTAATGTATCTGTTAGGGATGCACGATATTGGATTTTTGGTCGATATCAGATATGTTGATATGTTAAAAATTATTTGGCCGATAACTGATGCCGATATTTTATGCATGTTCCTTTGTCAGAACATAGCTCTCTTGTTGGGTGAGTTTTACCACAGACATTTCTCTTATTTGTAACCAAAAATGTGCAACAGCTGGTGACATATATTCAGTAGCAGCCATATGCATAGCATTTTAACTTATATTTATAAAAAGTGTTAAATGTTATTTATTAGCATGTGATGCTGTCTCACTTGTGGAGGCTTGTTCCAGGTTCCTAGCTGCAGTGTGGGATCTTCTGCACTCCTGTGCATGAAGGACAGCCTTTTTAAGTTCAAAGTTTTTGTCTATCCATTGTGCCATAAGATTAATCATGCTAACGGGGATAACACGACGTCCAAATGTCTGTGGTAAAACTCACCCAACAAGTGGTGCTATCGGCTATTAGCTTCTCAACGACATCGGACATGGCGGCTTGTAACTCGGGTAACGTTACATTGGAAAGATATCCCGGACTGGGGCGATGTAGCGAGGCTCAACATAGTCCATAAATCTTTGCAATCTGACATCCTCACCAACGAAAAATAAAACTTCCACACCGCCGACATTTTGAATTTTACTCTCCGCCGTGAGCTCGGGTAGGCGCACGTGACGTCATCACATTGCGCCGCCGCTGCAACGTCATCACATTGTGCTGCCGCTGCAGGCAAAAACAGCACCTTTTATATCGGCGAGTTATTTTAATGGAATGGCTGATGTCCGATATTGACTTTTAATGCTAATATTGACCGATACCGATATCATGCCGATCATATCGTTCATCCCTAGTATCTGTGAGTGGCGATCTTGCAGTAAAAAGTAGGAGCTGACAGTTTCAAGACACCAACAGCAGTATAGATGAAGAATGTTGGTTAGTGGTGAACAAACCCTCTCAGAGTTGGACTGAACCAAGACCACAAGGAGATAAGACGTTGAGGAATTCCTGTGGGAGGAAAGGTGGAGGTGGGAATACCTACAGGAATCTGTGAGTGTCAGCAGCTGGTACCAAACTCCCTACCAGCTCCTGCCCTCTTGAACTGTGTGAAGCCTCCGTCAGCACATTATTTAATCTCTACACTCACACAGCAGGTAGACACTAACAGACCAAGGTCTCTTCTGTTAACACCACACACAAAGTATAAATCCATCTGGGAGATTGAGAGACAGCGTGTCAGACCTGAATGATCTTGTCCTGAGGTCGGAGGCCGGCTCTCTGTGCCGGAGAGTCTTCATCCACGGCTCGGATGAACTGACCCGGCTTGGACTTCTCACTGTGCAGGTTGAAGCCATAGCCATTTGAGCCCTTCTTCATGTGGCAGAGACGAGGCCGGGGCCCATCCTGCTCCTCCTGCAGAGACATTACAAGCCAACATCAGAATTCATTCAGAAATACTTCAGTTTCTTCTCTCTGAGCTTCATACACTCGTTACTATGTGTAAACACAAAAATCTCATTAAGTAAAGACATGAATCCTTGAAAGAATGCATTACATCATGCTAGTTTCAGACTAAAGTCTTCTTAATGTAAGAAAAGGAGTGTAAATGTTGTGATCAGTTATTGTTGTGAACAATTCTCAGCTACTACCACATATTTTGGGTCAACACATGTGAATCTGATTGTGTTATAGTCATATTTATGGTGGCCATCTTGAATCGAGCTGAAGCAAACCTGAGGCATAGACGTACACTCTGATTTTTGCTGATATAAACAAAAAACACAAACGGATAAAACCGATCTTGTGTGTGTGTGTGTGTGTGTGTGTAGTGGTGGTGGTGGTGGTGGGGGGGGGGGGTTGCTAATAAATCACTCAGATGGACACTGCAATGTGTCCAAATGAAAGAGTACCGCAGAGGACACATTATACGCTCGTTGATAAAATATTATACAGCAATGGCTCCGACAATTCAATTCCGTTTATTTACTGTATATAGCACCAATTCACAACAAGGTTGTCTCAGGGCACTTTACAGGAACATTTACATACATAGAAAAGACCATTAGTAAAGTTCTCTATCTAAGAAAGCCAGCAGACTAAGGATGCACAACATTGGATTTTTGGCCGATGTGCCGATATGTTAAAACTTATTTGGCCGATAACCGATGCCGATACTGATATTTTATATACGTTCCTTTGTCAGAACATAGCTCTCTTATTTAGGCTTATTTGCTACAAAAATTGTGCAACAGCTGTAAGAGCTGATGACATATAATCAGTAACAGCCATATGATATGCATAGCACTGATTTATATTAAATGAAAAGTGTTAAATGTTATTTATACATGTTGCCACTTGGATCTATTATAAGACAACACAATGTCAACTTTCATTTTTATGCAGATGATTTGCAGATCTATTTACCATTAAGGCCAGGATCCAATAACCCAATGCTTTCTCTCTTCGACTGCATCTCTGCAATCAAACATTGGCTAAACAAGAACTTCCTGTTTTTAAATGACAGTAAAACAGAATGGATTTTATTTGGTGACAAAGATGCAACTGGCCTGGGAAATTTGGACATAAACTTCCATGACTGTGTGAATAACCTTGGGGTGACCTTTGATAAGGCTTTACACTTTGACAAACATATTGCCTCTGTTGTCCGGTCGGGATTCTTTTATTTACGCCTTTTAAAAAAGGTCAAACCCTTTTTAAATTGTCGCGACCTGGAGAAAGCTGTTCATGCTTTTATCAGTTCTAGGCTCGATTATTGTAACGCTCTGTATGTCGGTGTACCACAGTCATCACTGAGTCGCCTCCAGCTTGTACAGAATGCAGCAGCGCGCCTTTTAACCAACACTCCTAGATGGGACCACATCACACCTGTTTTATTCTCACTACATTGGCTCCCTGTCCGTTTTAGAATAGATTTTAAACTTTTATTATTTGTTTTTAAAGCTCTGAATGGCCTTGCTCCTCCTTATATAACTGAGATGCTAAGTTTCCCCGCCCGCTCCAGATCTTTGAGGTCAGACAGCTCCTGCTCTCTGTTCCAAGGACTAAATATAAACGCTGGGGTGACCGTGCCTTTTCTGCGGCCGCACCTCGACTCTGGAATAAGCTCCCACTTGATCTGCGTCAGATTACTGAACTTGGCCCTTTTAAATCGAAGCTTAAGACTTTTTTATTCCAACAAGCTTTTAGTACGTAAATATGTGGTGACATTTCTGGTTTTATTTGTGCTATTATGTTGTGTTTTCTTGCTTTTAACCTATTGTCATTTTAAGTACTGTTTTTTGTTAAGCACTTTGGTCACCATCACCATGGTTGTGTAAAGTGCTATAGAAATAATTAAATAAATAAATAAATAAACTTATTAGCATTAGTCACCTGCAATGCTGTCTCACTTGTGGAGACTTGTTCCAGGTTCCTAGCTGCAGTGTGGGAACCTCTGCACCCATGTGCATGAAGGACAGCCTTTTTAACATCAAAGTTTCTGTCTATCCATTGTGCCATAAGACAAAACATTAGGGCTGGGCCATATCATATTGTTCACGATAATACCGGTAAAAAAAGCTTGCCCGGGCAAAAAGATAATATCTATGCTAATTTCATGACATAAAACGTCAGGGTGGGCCCCCTTAACAGAACCGAGCGCGCCGAACGACCACACGCACCCCCCCCCCCCCATCCACCTGTCGGTACTGGTGTGACGCTGATTAGCTGCGCACAAAACTAGCTAGCTAAAAGCTAAAAACAAACAACGCACAGCTCAGCTGTCTCTCCATCCAGCTCTAAAATGCAGGTACAGACAACTCAAATGTCTCTCCCTCCCTCCTCTCTAAGCTGCCACTCATCTTTTTTTTTCCTCCCCACTCTGCTCTGAGCTGCCGGTGCGGGCTGCGTCTCCCCCGTTCTAAACTGCCGGTAAAAACAAGTGTAGCTTAACTGTCTCTTAGTTCCACAGTACATAGACAAAGAACAGAGTCAGGTGATCAGAGACAGATCATCAGAGAAATGAATCATTCCTGCAGGAACAGAGGAAGCAGAAACACCACAAGCTTCAGGGTCAGCTGATCACCTTTGTTACAAGTTCTGGAAGTTATAGCTCATTTAAAGGCAACATATTTTTGTTGTATGTTACATTTATGCTTAACAGATATTAAGCTTAATTTTATTTAGTTATTATGGGAAACTGCACCTGCACTTTAGTTTTTGTGGTGGATTTATTGTTTTATATTTTGTGCAGACTTTTTCAATATAAATAACAGAAGGATCATTTTTAGTTTATATTTTTATACTTGGAGACTGAATACTTTACTAAATAAAGTAATTTCAGTAAAATTACCCCTTGTTTTTTTTATTTCATGTAATACTGCAAAGCAACATGTTAATTTTGTCAAATAAATAACTATGATTTCTAGGTTTTTTTTATATCGCGAAACTTATCGTTATCGTCAGAATGCTCTGAAATATCACAATATTATATTTGAGCCATATTGCCCACCCCTACTAATTATGCTAACGGGGCTAACACGACGTCCAAATGTCTGTGGTAAAATTCGCCCAACATGTCGTGCTATCGGCTATTAGCTTCTCAATGACGTCGGAAATGACGGCTTGTAACTCAGGTAATGGGTTACGTCTTTGCTGTTTGCTGTTTGGTTGGTGAATTCTGGATTGTCTACAAATTCATGTGGATGTCTCGAAGCTCGACAGCGCTCAGACTGAATTTGGGGAGCTGCAGCAGGGAGCTGGAGCAGGCTGTTATCAGGACTGCGGTCTCAATAACAGCACACATAAAAGGGAAATAATCTTGGAGAAGCTGTGAGCTCGACTTTTGGCGTAAAGGATCAATTCGGCTGTTTTGGAGTTTCATCAGAGGAATATATACCAGCGAGACTTTAAAAAGGCAGAAACAGCAATTCACAAGTTCTGCCTGACCCAAATTGTGCCCTTGATGGCGGACTTATCTCAACTCCTCCTGGCATGTTTTGAAAACAACAAAGATGCTTTTTCTATCTCCTCACCCCTCCCTTCCCCAAGGCCGTGGACATGTGACAGAGCCTCAACCGAGCTGGTGATGATTAACACCTCTTATCTGGACAATGGCTGATAGGGGGGGGCTCTGGACTATGCTACGACTTTCCCTTAAAAATTCAATGTTTTCATTGGCCTATATGTACATGTATTATGTCTGTTTATGTTGCTTTGCTGTGGTAGGGGTTTTTGATGCCTCAAATCGTGCCCCGTCTATGACACGGCATGAGAGATCTTTTTTTTTACCGTCTCTCCTCATGTTTTCTTCCCTTTTCTCATCTAAGCAAAATATTATTCTGAATAAGAGGGCCGCACTTTTTATAGTTGCAGCTTCGTGCACTCTGCCCATCTTTCGGATGACTGTACGTACATATTCTTGTTGCATCTCAGTGCAATGCCAATAAAGTTTATTCTGATTCTTCTGATTATGAAAAATATCTCTGACTGCAGACAATGTAGTGAGGCTCAACGTAGTCCATAAATCTTCGGAATCCGACATCCTCACCAACAAAAAATAAAACTTCCACAACACCGGCATTTTGAATTTTCCTCTCCGCCGTGATGTCATCACGTTGCACTGCCGTTTCAATGTCATCACATTGTGCTGCAACGTCATCGTTTTGTGCTGCCGCTGCAGGCAAAAACAGCGCCTTTTATATTGGCGAGTTATTTTAATGGAATGACCGATGTCCAATATTGAAATTTAACGTTAATATCGGCCGAAACCAATACCATGCCGAAAATATCATGCATCCCTACAGCAGACATATTGAATCTTCACTTCATCGCAGTCTCCTATCCTGAGCAAGCACAATGGCAACAGTGGAAAAGAAAAACTTCCTTTTAAAAGGAAAAAACCTCCAGCAGAACCAGGCTCGGGACAAGCGGTCATCTGCTTTGATCGGCTGGGTTTGATAGGACAGGAAGGAGAGACATACAAACACAAGATGTCAGGTCCAGATACAGGGCTAGGTGTGCCCCCTATTGGAAGAAAGACAAAAACACATGTCAAGGATAGAAAAAAATTACAACTACAAAACAGGTTGAGCAGAGTAAGTAAAGACAGTAGCATAGAGAAGAAATGTAGACAATCTGTCCTCCAGCAGTCTAAGCCGATAAAAGCATAACTAAAAGATAGCTCAAGAAACCCAAACCAACCCTAACTATAGGATTTACCAAAAAATAACATCTTAAGCCCAGTCTTAAAACTGGACAGAGAGCCCGCCTCACAGACAGAAAATGGAAGTTGGTTCCACAAGAGAGAGGAGCCTGATAACTGAAAGCTCTGCCTCCCATTCTGTTTTTGTAAATTCTAGGAACCACAAGTAAACCTGCAGCCTGAGAGCAAAGTGCTCTGTTGAGAAAATATG